ACTTGTTCACCAGACACTGTCTGCTGGCCACGGACAAGACTGGCGCGGTACGAGGTGTCCTAAACGGGAGCTACGGTTATTGCCTATTCTTACTTTGCTATTAGCAACAGCGGCAATAGAATCCCATTGAGATGACGACGATCGAGTCGACAAGCCAAATTTTCAGTATCACCCGGGTGCCCAAAGTATCCCGAATCGGGATTCCCGATCAAAATGATAGTGGACACGGACTCAAGTTTGGGTATGACTCATGCGAACCTCAGGTTCACTTGTTCACTTGAGTCATGAAGGTGCCACCTCAGCATTTGTGAGCTCATAGTTGAACTTGTTAGACATGATGCAGGACGAGTCAGATCGCTTGCTGAGACCACGGGTAGCATGTCAGACTGCTTCGATTCCTGTAGCAGAGAGTAATCCAGCTATTACACTGGTACCTAGTACCTCCACTGCTGCTGCCCCCGCGACACCAACACCAAGGCGACGACTCCTGAAATACCTGCTGCTTGACGGTGCTACCTACGCTTTGCTGCTGCTGTTCTGGTCTGCAAGTCGCAGGGGAATCTCGAATGCCGCGGATGGATCCGGAATTTCCAGCACCTTCCGCTCTACAGTGAGCGCTGTCGTTCGCAAAGCGAAGGAACTCCAACTCATGCGCATGGAAAACCTCTTGGACACAACGGAAGATCAACCGGCGGCACAGATAGCGGCGCTCGTCCCTCCTGTACGTGAAGGAAAACCAACGCAATCGCTCGAGATGGGTAAGATCTCAGCGAAGGAAGCCATCACTCAGGCGGAAGAGCATGCACGCTTGGTGAAGATGCTCCCAGCGGGTGAGATGAAACAGCGTCGGTTGAAATGCGTAGGGTGGCGCGCCACAAGCCACTGCACCCCACATGGCCCACGTGATCCGAAGAGCGACAAAGGTTGCTATAATGTGGTTCCTAACTCAGCGTCAGGATATTGCGAAGTGGAAGATCAGGACACAGGCGAGCTGTTCCGCGTCATGAAGCGCTACTGCTCGAGTCTGCGATACGACGCCACTTTTCGCTGTATAGAGGCCCCAAGTTTTGTCAAGTACCCGGTGGAGTCTGTCGAGGTTGCGGAGAAGGCACTTGCAACAGGTTTCACACTTCCAAATGTGATTGACTCACCAGTGAAGCCTCGCGACGGTATCATCATGGTGGTATACCCCAAATTGATTGCCAGCGCTTACGCCACTATTCGTAACCTTCGTACCGTTTTGAATTGTCGTCTTCCCATCGAAATATGGTACAGAGAGCAAGAGATCCGTGCTGGTTCTGAAGCTCTTTCGCCACTGATGGAGTTAGCAAATTCAAGCGAAGCTGGCGAAATCTCGTTTCATAAGATCAGTGACAACTGGGCGACTGGATTTGGTGCTAAAGTGTTCGCCGTTTACAACAGTTTTTTCGAGCGAGTGTTGTTCCTCGATGCCGACAATGTCCCTGCCCGCGACCCAGCTTATCTTTTCGACGCACCAGAGTTCTTGGACACCGGAGCTATTTTCTGGCCGGACTTCTGGCACCCGGGGCACACGATCTTCAATATTCATGGCCAATCGCTGTTATGGGAAGTACTGGGCACGTCATTTGTGAACTCCTTTGAGCAAGAAAGTGGCCAATTGCTTATTGACAGAAGACGGCACGCAGCCCCACTGGACCTCGTGAAGTTTTACACTGTCAGAAGCCCCAACCCATTAACGCGTCTCAAACTCGCGTACGGTGACAAGGACCTATTTCGATTCGCGTGGATGAAACTCAGCGTTCCGTTCACCATGATACAGACGCCCCCAGCCGTGGCAGGCAAGGTCATCAACGGATCATTTTGTGGTATGACAATGGTGC